AAGGAGGGGGCTTTGTAGAAAACGAAGCGTTTGAGAGAGGCGGGGCATAGAGGACCTACAATAATGTACAGTATTTGAAAAATAATGTGTTTTTTGAACATTAAAGCATGTCAACATATTCTGTTACACCAAATACACCAAATAATGATCTTTAAAAAAGCATCATATGACCCCTTTAAAGTCGGTTACGAAAATGTAGATTGGCCCAATTTTAATCAGAAAAGTAAAACTGTTTACCTCTTGGCTAACTAGTTGGTCAAACTAGTTCTTAAGACACAGTCTTAACATCATGTCTATGTTTATGCAGCTGCCCTGGACTAGATGAAGCTTTGCATGAGACAAGTATGCCTTATGAAATGAGTTTCAAGAGTGAATCCAATTCTGTTATCTAGAAAATCCTTTATTGTGCCAAATGATTGTTTTGGCTTATCAGATCATCTGAAGGGGAGGACATGTTGCTGTGTCTGAAAAAGTAATAAAATGTGATGAAGTGTGTACTGCATGTTGTGTTATTAATTTGAAGATATACATTTTAATCCCTCGTTTGTCTTCACATTTATACTACTTGTAGGCATATTTTATTTTTATGTTTTGTTTAGCATTTTTGTATTTTGGAAATAAGTAGTGCCAATTTCTATTTACCTTTATAGACATCAAGAGTAGAGACATACTGTGGGACATAGACACAGACGAAGACACAGACTTCGTACTTGTCTAATGAAAGCTTGCAGAGATATTAATGTTAAAAGGCGAGTCTTTTTATGTTCTTCCATTACAATGCTCTCTTATTTATTAGGTGGATCCCAAAACAAGATACTCGCATTTACACTTTAACTTCACTGCAACCTTTCTTAGCCACTAGAGGGAGGGAGAGCACTACAGTTCAGTGTCAGATTCACAGTGGGCACTGGAGACCACACAATGCGCCATGTCCACATGGGTGAACATTTGTCTTACTTCTCAAAGGAAGCTAAATCTTTCTTTCAGTCCTAAAAAGACAAAAGTCATCAATGAGCAGATTTGCTTCTAAAAACCTTGTTTAGCAACACATGGTATTAATAACATTTAGAAATGCAACAATAAGATGATAACCATCACTGTAAGTTTAAGAATAGTATAATGCGTGATCGTTAGATTGCAGGTTCTGCAATTAGATATTAGATATTATTAGACATTGCAACAGTGCCCAACCACTTTTTCAGCGACTTTTTCTGCAAGTAATTTTCCAACAAGGATTTTAAAAAAAAATTCTTTATAAGAGTTATAAGCCATGAATCAAACCAACCAACTACGAAATGAATGACCACGTTACTATCTATCTATGAAATTTACATTATGCGTAATAATATGTAAGTAGTTTGAGAGTGCAAGAAGGCAAATCTATAAAATTTGTGAAGATCAAAGTGAGATGACCAATTTTTTTCCACTAAAACATTTTTTTTTAAATTGAATTATTCTCATTATTATTTGTTTATTGTTTATTCATTTTGCCATGGTGAATTTAAGTGTAGGGTACCAGCTGCTTCACTACCAATTTGAAAGTTTCATGCAACTGCCACTAGGGGGCGAAATGAGACAATCATACAGAAGAGATAGTGGAAAAGTGCCTTCAGTCCACACTCACCACAGCAGGAGGATGTTTATCATGTACAACACTAACACTAAAGTACTTTAGCATGCTGTTGGAAAACGGGTCGGTCCTGGTGCAGACAATTCAGAACGGTCCCTATGTTCCTGATATGCAAAGGGGCCCGAAATGTGTGAATACTGGAAATATGATTGATGTTCTACTTGATAAGACAGAAGAACATGTTTTCATTCCTTGTGGAAAGGAGTCAGACCAATGATGAAGCAAATAACTATTTGGTTGCTGCAATTATTTTGAAGTTTTATTGATTAATGATTTCTTATTGGCCCTCAGAAACACAGCTTAGGAAATGGATTTGGCAGGCTTCTTCATTTATTCCCCTCCCCATGTACAGTCTCTGAGATTATTTAGTGTTCACCAGGCGAGTTATTCTCAGTTTGTTCAATTCATGTTTGCCTTCGCTGACTTCGGTATCTTGAACCTCTGTGGAAAAAGTTAGATTAATTATAAACGGCACATTTCGACAGCTGCGCGCACCCAGTTTATTTTGGAAAATTTTGTGAACCTGGGATGGGTTTCTTTGAACCTAACCCCTGTTATGAAAGGCACCTTAGGACACATTGTAAAGACAAATCACAATCAATGGCTCTGAAAAGGGTATGAGGGAAGGAAACGCAACCCTATTTTGATGATAAATGGCAAAGAGTGGGCAAGAACCCAGCACTCTGTTGGTATTGCTGTAGAGTCGCCTAAACACATAACTGCCATGCATAGCAGTATGATAACGTTTGTAAATTTAGAAAATGTATTAAAAATAAGATCCCATGACACTGCTTATAAAGTTCCACTAGTGTAAATTTAGAAAAGTGTATGCCAGAAGTTCTCACAGCTCACATAATGAGTTTGACTTCAGTTACTGTATTCAGTGAAGCTGTTTTCAGAATGTTCAAGTAGTTCTACTTGTTTGTCAGATTTTTTTAAACAAATACTATATTAAAGATTTTGCTACAAACCGTTATGTGAAACTTACTGTAGCTTATGATTTTTCTGCTATCTGGCCTTCTAATTGAAATCAAGCTCAATCTTTGCTTTGAGCTGTATATGCAAGTTGTAGCGATATAAAAATAGTGTAAAATTTGCTAATAATTAGGCAGATGATTGGTCCATGTTAATGAATATTGTGAGATGACATGCTGCTTTGGCGCAGTGGAGATGTAGTGTTAAATGTTGAAGACTTGTTCTCATCATTGTCAAAGTTGGTCTTACAAATTACTGAAAACATGTCTGTAAATCTGTTTTGTGCATTTTGGAAAAACGTTCTGTGGTATGAAAACTGAAAACTTTCTGAAAGCACTGTATGCTGATGTGTGTTTCTGGTTTGCACATGTTGAAAAAGTTTACCCTCGTTATCATGCTGTTTGACTTTCATATACAGTATTTTAGCAGGTCTGCTAATTTATAACTCTTTTGTTTCACAGATAAAGATGTGGAGCCCACAGTAAAAGTCAGTAAAGTCACTAGTGTTTCTGTCAAAACCACTATGACCAAAGGTAGAAACTCTCCACCAATCCTTCCTTTGTGACAATTATTGGGGACTGGTGAAATAATCAATGGGCTCGCCGGTGGGCACTAACATCCTTAACGCTCAATCCATCTGGGCTTTTTTTTTTTTTTTGGATAATCAATTTTACTGCACAGGTATCAGCTGGAAATTACGGTGATGGGCGTCCTAATATTTCTTCAACCTCATGTAATTCCTGGAACTAATGCAACTTTCTAGTTCATACTGTTTGAATAGGTTGGGCTTTGAGGGTTTGGCCTGAGAGTCATTCAGCGTGACCTTGAAGTTTCCAAAAAATTGTCAAGCACAGAACCACCGGGCCTAACTGATGGTCTTGTGTTTCAGAGCCGGTGGTGGAGGGCCCTGTCTCCGTGGGACGAATAGTAGGCTCAGGTACAGCCTCACTGCAAAGAGTGCACTCTGGTCAACATGAGAACCCCAGCAGGCCTGGTAGTCCTGAGATAATGTCCTTCAATACATTACACACGAAAGACCCTTTTACACCAAATGCAACACAAAAAATCAAGCCAATGAAGTCTTATTACACTGACGAGTTTGTGCCAGAACAACAGGTGGAGCTTAATGACAGCGAAGCTCACACCGACCAGAATGGTGCCCCGCTGTATGCCTGACAAGTTTCTAGTTATTGTTTCTAGGCACAATAACTGCAGTGTTTTGTTTGTTTTACACACACAGACATACACACAAGCAGCTGCATAAATGCAGCCTTAGTGGGCATAAGAGACTTCTTGGAAAAACAAAAAAACCTTACCATCCCCAAACTTTTAAATGGTAGTGCATATGCAATCAATATTACTCAGATCTTTTTGGTCGGTGTGCTTTCATCACCAGGTGAAACAAAAAATCTTCAACACACAACACAAAATTGACAGCAAAAGTTGTGAACAGCTGCATAAGAATCAATTGTTTCTATTCAAAATTTTGTATGTCACACTTGGTGTGAAAAGGTCTAAAGATACTGTACATGGGTCATTTTTAGGAAATGTTTTTCCCCGTCTTATTTGAAAAGGTTACTACTGAACTTTCAAGAAATCACATTTGCAGGCCCAAAGCATCGGGGCCATAACTACCATAGACAGTGAATTCCATTTATTTACCATCAGTATTCCTGTGCTTTTTACCAACATCATTTTTTTTTACCATAACTGAGTTGAATTTGAACAGTGTAAGCATAAACAATGAAATTGTGATAGTCTTCAAAGAGAAACTTATTTAAAATGTGGTAATTTAAAAAAAAAATAAAAATATTTATGACAACACAGATCATTTCAATTTTATTTTTTCAAGACAAAATTGTGACTGCAGGTCAGGGTAAAACGGACAGAAAAATAATTTTTCAAATATTACATAATGTATTTTTTTTATTTTATTTTATGTAAATCCATTAAAATCTAACAGTGATTAATAGGGATTAATAGGGACAAATTGCCTCATGTTCCTATGAAAAATAAATATTTTATTTTAGTAAGTATATACAGTCATGGAGACAAATCCAGTACCAGTAACCACATCTTAGCCTTCAGAACTCAGAATGAATGTCTTTATGCCTAGGGCATAATGTGTTGCTTATAAATGTATAATGAGTTTTCACCTTTCATTTTACAAAGACTTGTACAACATATAAATCACAGTGATTTGCAGGCTGTCAATGTCATAACCATATTAGACCTACCAGACCTAAAAAAGACATTGGGCCTCATTCATGAAATTTTTGTAAATATATGAGTAAATTTGAAGTATTTTGCACGTAAAATGGGAAAACCTAAAAAACTCTCGTCCTGATTCACAAACACATTGTATACCTCAGATTAGTTAAACATGTGGATACTAAAGGTGCTCATAGCAAATAGTAATCAAAAGAAAACATGCTATAATATTTAAATTTGTTTGATGATCTGAAACATAAAAGTGTGACAAACATGCAAAAAAATAAGAAATCAGGAAGGGGGCCAACACTTTTTCACACCATTGTATACTTTCTTGAATCTGAAAATTTCAACTTTTTGAATGAGTTAAAAAAAATCATCCTGCTTGTGTTTAATGAATGAGGCCCATTGTGAGTACTTTGTGTTTTTTTTTTTTCCTGCAAAATTCCACTTTACATCCCTGTGAAACTGTAAACGAAGACTTGGGTCACCATCTGAAAGGGTTTAGGTCTGACCTCAGCAGGTATCTAATAAGAGTTTGCTTGCTGGTGGTGGGTTACTGAGATTCTACTTCTCTACTGCTGCAGTGCCCCTCAGCAAGACGAACTTGAAGGGTCTGTCATAGCGAATGGCCAACTGCAAGTTGCTGTGAATAATAGCATCTGCTAAACGTTCCTTTTGGTTTCAGCAGTGGTCACTTTCTAACCAGTTCCTCCTCTACATTCTGCAGCATCTGTTTGGAGACTTGAGCATCAGTGGAGTTCTCGAACTCTCCCTTTCCATGCCTTAGTGCCATATGATAAGCAATGCATTAATGCTGATGCTAATGAGAATGTACCAGCTGAATTAATGTCATGTTTTGATTCACATTTACCTGTTCATCAGTCCTTTTACTGAGCCCATTATTTCTGCTTGGTAAATTGTTGATCGTTTGTTAAATGTCTGTTTGTTTTTAGCTGCACTGCTCTGGCTATCACCGTAAGCATGCTAAAAGTCAAACCTGTTGAAGAAATTAAGTAGGCATACTTAAGTATGCATTGCAATCTGTTTTGGTTTTTAAAGCATTTTCCTTTTTCCCCCACTCACACTTTTGTTTTTTCTCTTCTTCTTTTTTTTATTTTAAAGGCTTAGCTACATTGACACCTAGACACCTATGGTCTAATGAAGCCTGCATAGGTGGACAGCTGCTTTTTAACACATTTTTCCCAGCTGAACTCTGGAATGTTTTGGCTGCGTTGATCTAATATCACTGCAGCTTTTTCATACACTAAAATCCTTTAGATGCTGACATAACTATGAGATCTGTATGAATGTTAACGTACCATTAACATCTTTAGTTGTCTCAAAATGCACTTTTTTTTTTTGCATATAACTAATTGTTAACTAATTAATTTTACTTAATGAAATTCCTAAATGCAGTTTTGGGAGGTGTGAAACCATTTGTTTCAATTAGCTGCTCTGACATCAGCTGTTTTAACTCTGCCAACATAATTTAAGTATCTTGCCATTCATATTTATTTCCCAAGCACTAGTAAACCCTGGGGGTTTATTTGAGCTCGAGATGAAGTCACTTCCTCCACTGCAGATAGCAAGCCAGATTTAACCAAAGTTTAAACTCCTTTTACCATAGTTTAACCTTAATATCTTAACAGATAAACTATATGGCAACTTAATTTGTGAAATATTATTACATATAGTTTTATCAAAATGCAGTGTCATCAGTTTGCCTAAAAAAATAATGTTTCGTGGTTTACGCACCATTTATATGTGGTTGGGAGCAAGTGTAAATTTTTTTTTGTGTTTGTACCAACTAACATTTTGAAAATACAGTGGTGTGAAAAAGTGTTGGCGCCCTTCCTGATTTCTTATTTTTTTGCATGTTTGTCACACTTTAATGTTTCAGATCATCAAACAAATTTAAATATTAGTCAAAGATAACACAAGTAAACACAACATGCAGTTTTTAAATGAAGGTTTTTATTATTAAGGGAAAACAAAATCCAAAACTACATGGCCCTGTGTGAAAAAGTGTTTGCCCCCTAAACCTAATAACTGGTTGGGCCACCCTTAACAGCAACAATTGCAATCAAGCGTTTGCGACAACTTGCAATGAGTCTGTTACAGCGCTGTGGAGGAATTTTGGTCCACTCATCTATGCAGAATTGTTGTAAATCAGCCACATTGGAGGGTTTTCGAGCATGAACCGACTTTTTTTTTTTTTTTTTTTGACTGATGTTATGAGTTAATGCTAATTGTCATATTTCTCTTTGCAGTGTTTGATAAGCAAGGGTTCTTGCTGAATCTGGACACAAGGCTGTAAGTATTCTGTATTATACAATTCCTTCCTTATTCATTTCACCAACAGATAGAAAACTTACTTAAAAACCTTTTTCAAAAGTTGTTTTTTTTAATTCATTTGAATTATTTAATAAATTTATAAAAAAATATATATATATATTTATATAAATATATTCATGATTTAATGATTTAACCATTTCTTTTTCACCACATTACTTATGCTCTAGTTTAGTTCAGTCATCCTTAAGTGCAAGCAATTGATTTCTAAAGATACAAATGTTATTGCTGTTCCAGAGTAAATTGCCTTTACATAAAAGTTCAACAAAAGTTATATACACTACTGTTTAAAATTAGAGGTTGGTAAGATTTTTTTTTTCACATTGCTGAATTTACAACCATTACTCCAGGCTTCAGTGTCGCATGATCCTTCAGAAATGCTGATTTCGTGCTTGAGAAAAAAATATTTTTGTCAATGTTGAAAACACTACTGCTACTTTACTTTAGAGGAAACTTTTTCTTCTTTTTTTCCTTCAGGATTCTTTAATGAATAGAAAGTTCCAAAGAATATAATTTATGTGAAATAGAAAAAAAATGTTAATATTATACTATAAATGTGTTTACTGTCACTTTTAATCAATTTAAGGTGACTTTACTGAATGAAAATAATTTGTTTAAAAAAAAAAAAAAATCTTACTGAACCCCAAATTTTTGAATCGTAGTGTGTAATCTATCAAGTGGTTGTAACAATAATGAAATATAAATAAAAAGAAAATCTAAGGTACGAAGTAGCCTTAAAAGTCTTAAAAGCAATAAAGGCTTTTGGCCTCATTCAGTACCATCAGTGTCTTTGTGCAATCTATTCCATTGACCTTGTGTGAGGTGTTAAGGTATAGGTCTGTGTGTGGTAGGTATATGTTTACATTTCATCTTTGAAGCAGCCAAACTCTCAGACTCTCACCTCACCCTAATTTCTCAGTGTTAAGTATCAGAGAAGACATGTCTGTCCACACCATGCACACATACAATAAGCAAAGCCTTCGACAGGTTTAGATTTCATTGACGCTGTGAGCAAAAACTGTCTGTGTGGTGTACTTCATCATTCAGCTGGCCTCAATCCACCATCCTCTCTGCTGCTTAAAGACTCAGAGCTGTCACGACAACAAAATACGACACTGTCCCATTGGGCCAACCACTTCATCAAAATGAAGGCTTCAGCAAATAAGTGTCTTGTGGCTTTTATTTTAACCGTTGAAAAGGCGCTTCGTGTGGGACAGTGTGATTTGGTGTTGAAACCTGTGGCTTTTTAATCAACAATTTAATCTCAGAGATCATAGTTTTTTTTATGTTTTACGGTCACTTCAGAATTATTAATTACATTGCTCAGTTCAGGTGGTAAAATAAGTACAATGTACTTATTGTGTTCATATTGTATTGCAAAACACTTTTGCTGCTATTGTGGTGGGATACGGGTAGGTTAGGGACAGGTTTGGTGGTATGGGTAGGTTTAAGGCTGGGTTAAGGTGTAAAGGATGGGTCAACAGTGTAACTATAAATGTAATTACAGAAATTAATTACAGATGTAATTACATACAGGTATTTTTTTAAATATAAGTACAATGTAAAAACATGTATGTACACAATACGTGCATTGTATCAAATAATTCATTTAAATGTAAGTACAATTACAGGCCACCTAATATAAAGTGGGACAAAAAAAAACTAAATTATTACAGTAAGGCACCTACAATGGAGGCAATAAACATTAAAATACCGTTTTCTGATCATTCTAAACATTACACTATTTATATGGCATAACTCTCTCTAAGCATTGTTTGCATTGAGGCAAATTTCTGTCACGCATAACCAGATGTTTATTCATCTAGAAAAGTAGGCAACTTCGTAGCTTCATAGAATAATAAACAGTTTTTATGGAATAATTCGTCTTCACGAATTTTTTTACTTCACACAAAAGTACTTCACATTTCTGCTTTTAAACAACCCAGAACACTGGCCCTGTTTAGTTCCATTGTAAGTGTGTAACCAGTTTTTGCCTTTTTCCCCTATAAAAAAAACTGATGGGCAAGTCAAAATAGTTTTCTGTGCTGTTAACATCATGTCAAAAATGCTGTCTTTTAGAGTGTTTTTTGAGCTTGGAACATTCTTTCAGAACAAAAGTATGAAATAAACACTCACAGTTTGTGTAGCCAGCAAAATGTGTCGCATTCCTATTGTTTGACTATTTCATTTATTTAACACATCAGCGATAAACTGAGTTTCTCAAAAGTAATCCATCACATCCTGCTCTAGATGTCATCCATCTTGTGCCAGGCTAGATAAAAACAATAAGATTCACCATTACCATTTAGCATAGTTATGCTGCATGATATTCCTGTCAGGTTTAACATTTACAATCCTGGTCTAATTAAAATGAATGCCTTCTCTTTCTTCTCCTCTCTAACTGTCTACAGGCCTCCGGAGTTGGTGTACAAGTACGGGAACCTCAGCGAAGGAGCCTGCAAACCCGGCTATGCAGCTGCCAAAATGAGTGCTATCTATCCAAAGTATGAACAGATTTCTTTATTAATGTAATACACAGGGTTCAACAATAAGCCCCACTGCATTGCATTGGTTTAATGCTAGATAGGGTTATATTTTGAGAAAAGGTATTTCGTATTTCAAAGGAAGGATATTTGAAGATGGCAGTTGGGATGGAAGTTTGTTTAGAAGAATACAAAGAGGCTTTGGCTGAATCTTATGCCTTTTTTAAACCTGCTTTTGTCCTGCGAGTCTTTGCGATATTGAGCCAACAGAATGAAGTACAAACTCTGTGAATTGACAACCGCTTTGTTAAAGATTTACTGCTTTAGCTCTGATTTACCAAGTTCCTCGTGTGTTCAACTCTCCCTGCTTTTCGCCCGTCACCATTCAAGAGACACTATGTCACTTCTCAGCTACGAAGCCCCTGAGGCCAGTCTCATAATATCTCTGACTGAACAGAAAGCTGCTCCTCTGATCCTTTAAGTCCTTGTTAATTTGTGACCTACCACAACAAACAACCACTTCCGCATGCTCGCCGGCTCCACAATGCGCCTGTTGTAATTCAATTTGGATGTGGACAGTGATTCTGTCTTTGCGGCTGAGAGGAGAAAGCCCTGTCAAGCAGCTACTGTGGAGGACCGAATGAGTCAACTTCTTCAGTTTGACTAAATCCTCAGAGAGCTCCGCGACCCTCAATGATATCACACAGCACTCAGCGACCCTCAGTGACATCACCGGCCTTTGATGGAACTTTCCATCTTTGCTGGCATCCGTGTTCCATTGTTCCCTCATCTTTAGGCTGGCTATTGTTAGCACAAGTAATTTTTCCACTACAGCATGCCCAGCGATGATAAACATTAAGCATCACGGTTTGGTTTGTTCATGGATATTTCTTTCATCGCCATATGATTGTTTAGAAATAGCTTTTCCACCAATCAAGAAAGATTATTTTGGAAAGGATTTGAGCAGCTATCACAAAACAGCAACTATCACACAATAGCAACAGCAATATTTAGTCCAAGTCAGATGGTTGCCCTGGATTGGTTTAAACAAAAACGGACTAAACAAAAATATTAATTTCATGAAATAACTTTTTAAAGAAGAGAGAATAAAGACATTGTGACAACAACAGTGACGAGTTCATGTTGCAGAAGATGTCATTTTGGTGTGTCCTTATGTCTCTAGAGTCAGCACAAGCATTGAAAGACCCATAAAACAGAGCAATGACTGAATTGGTGCCTGAAACTTTTTAACAAGCCCCCAATTAACGGCATGTGTGTTAACAGTGTCTACAATATGCCTCTAATTAACACGTGTGATGGATCAAGCTTCTCAGGGTCTTTGTTTATCTTTTGGGGTCAAAAGGCACTTCTGCCACATCATTACAACACAAATATTTAAGCGTTTTTCTTGTGTGATAAATTATTTATAATGATGTTTAGGATACATTGATTCAGTTTAGAAATTTCCAGCATCCTGAACTAAATAACAGTTGAAACGTTTTATGTCATTTTTGAATGTATAAAACGGAGATAGGTATTGTACATGTTATGGGAAATTGAAAATTGCAGTCAGTAACTTTTTGAAATAAGTTTGTTTGTTTACATTAGATTCAATATACAACATTTAATTGTTAATTAATTAATTATATAATTATAAATATTCATTGATAATACAATATAATGTTAATTCATAAAGCTTTTGTAAAACATGCAAGTATATGTAGAAATGAACATGAGATTAATAAATGCTGAAAAAAAGATGTCCGTGCATGATACCTGATGCATTAACTAATGTAAAACGAATTGAATTTTATTGTATAAAGAGGAAATGTTTTATTTAGCATCTAAGAAGACAGAATCGTGTCCTCATGTTTGGATAAAGAACTTTAAGACTCAAATTTAAGTGTCACGTAGTATAATTGTACTTTTATCCGTGCATTTTCACAGTAAATAATTTCGTTGAATAGACAAATACTCAATTTTTTTTTTGTTGTTGCATAAAGTAGGGATGGTCCTGTTAGTTAATACCTACTTGGCATGTTAAGTATGTGATCATTTGGGCAATCACTGGTCTCTCCCTTTAGGAGTTACATTTTATTGGGGGATCACTGCGTGTGTAGGAAACCACCTGAAGCCATGTGATCCCCACCCTCTGTTAGTTCACCCCTGGAATCCACTTTATTTTCAACACCTCCACTCCTTTCCCAAAATTGTTTGTATTGGACTCTTAAATCAAATGTCTTGGTTGAACTTGAGCAGGCGGTTATGAAAATACAGCCCCCAGTGAGAGATAGCCATGAGGAAATGAGCACAATGCGCACAGGCCTCCTGTTCAGGACCCTTTATGACAAGCAGACGCCTGTCTGTCTTTAGGCCTGAAGCTCTCACCCAGTTATTTATAATGTGAGTGTCCGCACCCCACAAGTTAATTAATCCCAGTTTGTTTTGGCAAGGTCTTGCTTTGTCTGCCTTTTATCAGGTGATATAAGGAGAGGATGCGATGCAACGTTTTTTCCTTTCTTCTTGACTCTGTCGGACATCCCCTGGCCTTAAGCAATTAGCGCATGAAATAGACACACTTTTATCAGAGTCTGTTAAACAGTTGCCAATTGTGATCCCATTCATTTTCTAATCTTATTTCCTGTCGCTGCTCTTTGACATTTTCTTCAATTGACATCTTCTTTGTCCTCACTTTCCCCACATATCGGACATCGTTGTAGATTTAGGTGGTTTAAAAGCAACTGGAGGTCTCCATTACTAAAAAGGCTGTGAACTTGTGCCACTCTGTACTTTGAAAAGAATTGTTGGGAAAGCGGTTCTGCTGCTTTTTTCCCCCCCAAAAAGCAGGACCTGTATTTTAAATGACCCGTGTGTTCTCTTTACTGACCCATGATTAGTCTTTTGAGATTTCTTAAGGGGGCCTAATTTTTTTCAAACCTTCTGTACCTCTCGACAAGCTCTCCTTGTTAGTCATCCCCCTACCCCAAACCAATCCACTGCAATTTTCTAACTTAATCGTAAAAGACCTGAGAAAGAAGAAGAAGAAGAAAAAACTGAAAAATGATCAAATAACCTCATGTTTGTAAATGAATAATGACCCTGCTGAGTTGGGAGGGTCATAAAAACAGACATCCACACTTACAGAAGCAGAAAAGAGGCATGTTTGTAGAAAATGCATCTGCTGTCTGAGACTTACTCTGTTCTTATCAAATTGAATCATTAAATGATCCCTGAAAAGGATCTAGTTTTTGAAAAATGCTGTTGCTTGATGGCTTCTGAAAGTTCTCACTGCCTACCGGCACCTTTGAGAGTGTTCCACTTCCTGGAGATTTCCCATTTGGATTGCTTTAAATGTTGTAGAAATGCCCTTTGGTAGTAGATAAGAAATGACAGTGAGGATCTGCGGGTCAGAGGCGCAGACATTCATCGTTGAGTTTGCACATATAGCCTTAAGAGAGGAGTGTGCTGGGAAATGGCCTCCGGGTAGGGTATCCCCTGACTCCTCTTGAGAAGGGGTGAACGGAGGCCTGGGTTTGTGATTGATTGGTGCTGGTTCAGCCACACTGTTTTAAACTTTAACCACAGGTCAAAGCAGAGACGAAGTGAGACCTCTCACAGACAAAAGCCCCTTTTGACTCCCCACCTCCTGATGTCCGGGAAGTGAATGTGTTGTTTGGTTATATGTTATTAGCCGTTTTGATGTGGAATTGACATGTTGCTATGGAGACGTTTTTGGTACTGTGCAAAATTTGCTGAATGAATAATATAATTTAAAATAGAATTTATGTGGAAAATATAGTTATTATTCTGAATGTTAGTTGTCCTTGGTAGTATTCATTATATTATATTTATTATGCTTTTGCAGGTTTAGTAAGCCAGCTTCCATGTTTCTGGACCGAAACTTTAAGCGACTTGCAAAAGTTACAAACTTTTTACCTCCATTTGGATTCAAAACACAAGGTATGTATCCATTTTAAAATGAATATATCGCAGACTTTGGGCCAGATTTACTCAACCGGGCAAATTAGCGTTAGAGCGCAGTTACATAAACGAGCGGATGGGAGGGGAAAATTCTGCGGGTGATTTACTAACAATGCGCACATTAAAGAACACCGACGCATCCAGATCATTTCCATAATGCCCAGCGCAATCTACCAAGAGCAGCGCAAATTACCACCTGCTTTAAGACATGCTTTTTTTGGGCATTAAATAATGGCGCAAATACCAGTAATTTGACGAGGGCAAATGTTATTAAACCGCATTGCGTGATTCATTTTAATCCTCTCCTCTCATAAATTTTGCGTCTGAAAGGGAAACTCCTACAAATGCATATTCAATAAGGTCAGGCACAAAAACAACTGTCCACGCCTTTCAGTGCTAATTCTTCACTGCGCGTCTTTAGTAAATCCTGACAGTAGGATTTTAACACCAAAAGACGGGTTGCACTGGCTCAAGCTGTTAGTAAATCTGGCCCTTTGCCCCTTAACAACAAAATGTTGTCCAAATGCTTTCTTGTTTCCAGAAACGAATGAACCCGTTCTTTTAATGAATACTTAAAAAAAAAAAAAAGTTTGAATCAGTCTGTAGCACTTTTGAGCACTATGCAGGATTGATTTTTTTTAATTTATTTTTTTCCTGCTTTCACAATTTTCTGAAAAAATAAATAAATGAAAATTATATTTTGTCCACAACTTTTAAATTTTGTCCTGTTCCCACCCCCAAAAGCATGCCGGTACTACATGTTTTTTTTCCCCCTCTCTTCTCCTCTTAGTCTCGCTTCAGTGTGTCAGAGTATTTCCACACACAGTGGGAATACTAAAAGAGTTTTTTTTTGTTGTTGTTGCTTAAAAAAAGTATGGGCAATTTAGTCATGCTGGATGCGTCACATTTGCATAGACTGCCATTTTAATTTACCATTGGTTGATTGCCAAATTAAAATGTCAGAGGGGACAATAAAATTATTAAATGTGATTTAGTTTCCATTTTTTATGTTCCTGTTAATTTTGTTTGTTTCTGTTTTATGTTTTTGTTCCTCGAACCAGTTCAGAGCCCTGGTTTGATAGACAATAATGCACTGGTCCCAACAATTATTCTCATGATAAATTCCAATTGATTTAATCTGTTGGCATGCATGTTTCTTTATAGCTTTAGGATGCCAAACTCTTATTATGTTAAAGCATTGCACCACGGGTTCAGGAGTGACTTTGATATTGCAGTAGTGTGAGAGCAAACCTCTGTAGTGCGTACGTAGCCAGATGCATTGCACAGTATGGCAGACATTTATGTACTCCGGTGATGTGGGGGTTTATTCCATTCAACAGAGAACAAGAACTTCATTCTACTGAGCTTTGTGAATGTATCAAAGAGAATGAGACCTCTGGAAAAGACCTGTAGATAAGGCAACGGTTTCTTGAAACCAATTGGTTGTTAATGTAATCCACCGTTGTCTGCTTGAAGCATTTTTTCCCTTCCATCTGAAAAGATGATTACGTCTTAGATTTCAGCACATTGTCAAATGTTCCAGCACTTGAGGGCAGCGGGCACATAAGGGTACCTTGAATGTAACCTTTGTGTTCAGTTAAGGCCTGCCGTGTCCACACACATGAAGACTTTCAAAAGAGCAGGTCCCATGTTTACATTACACCTGGTTTTTGTTTGCTGCATGGATCGTGAGCCTAGCGTGACTTCACTTTTAACTTTATTCATTTGGAAAGGTTGATACGTGTGGCTCTTGAATAGAGCTTGACAAAGGTTCTCAAGTTGTGGGCCAGAAAGGCATAAAAATAGATGTCTTATTTCTGCACTACCAATTCCAATATAAGCGATCCCTATGGCCACCTACGACTTTGTGATTTCTGCTCTTGATTACGTCGCCCTCAGTGGAAAACATCCAGTCAAAGCATTGCAGATGGTCTGTAGGGTAATCCCAACATCTTTTACAGACAGGAGAACCAAATACCTCAAAGGAGAATAAACCATTAGGGCTGTTTTGACTCTAAGTTTGGCCTTTTAAGTGCCTTACAGTATTAGATAGCCTCTTAAATGTCTCCTGTGACTCAGGATGAAGTGTCACTCTCAGCTACTTTAGTGAAGTTCCTCTAATACTCGCGATGAATTATACTGAAATAGTTTGAGCATGTTTGATCAGTTTAAAAAAAAAAAAGCTTTTTGACAAACATTACATGAAAGAAATGTGTCATTGTGTGACACGAACTCTCAGAAGTCACACTCCAGATGGTTTTGTGATATAGCCCCTAAAAGTATTTGCATCGTACCCGACCGTTTCTACTTTATTTCAGAGCATGATTTCCCCTTGCCAAAACAGTGTATGTTAAAGATGATGGGCTCGTTTGTTTAAACTGCCAAGAGTGATACTTGGCTGAAATGTTTATGCCGTTTATCGTAAAACAATTCGAACCTATTGCTCTTCCCTTTTCTTTGCGAAACGGTTATCTATCTATCTATCTATCTATCTATCTATATATCTATATATCTATCTATATATTTATTATTATTTTTTTTTATTTTTTTTCGTTTCTTATTCCAGTGTGGTCCCGCCACTGTTTATGCAGTCCATGGTGATGCTTGATGTGAGCTGTCAGCGCTTTGTCCAAACAATGACGGCTACTCCCTGATGCTTTTTTTTAATCATTAAGGTTACGGTTTAGGGTCAATACAAATTAAGCTCTTACGTTATCTTTTGCACTACACCGACTGTTGTGTTTATGGAGGGCAAATCAGTTTACAGAAGGTTCTCACATGCCGTATATTGTTGAAATCACAACCATTCGCTTCAAACCACAGGACTACATCGGTACATCCTATTATGTTTGCCTCCCAATAACATAGCGTCTATGCCAATAAAAAAGATAATCTCACATGTGAGCTCTTTGTTGTCAGAAACAGTAATGGCAGTCATTAGGGTAGATGCTTTCAAACCACCGGACGAGGAAAAAAAAGAAAGAATTATGTACAGATGTAGATTTGGTACCTTACACATACTGCAAAGTGCCTAGCAGACTTCCCAAAGTGTTTCCCTCCGTGTCTTGACTTTTGTTCGTTGGATTATAGTTAGGGTCAAAAAGGTATGATGGGAAAATGGGCAAGGGTGTGCACATTTCACCTCATTGAATTAGCTCTTTTCCAAACTGTTTTCCTGTCTTTGGACTTTTATAGTATGCATACTGATGCTTTGAGGCAACTCAATGGGTCACGCTTATGCACCCTTACTAGGAAATCCGGTGTCTTCACTGATATCAGGTGACATAATGTGTGGCAGCCATGAATGCCTGCGAGGGTATCGGAGGAATGATCGCTATGACCAAACAGCTCTGTGAATTTTCTGAAAGTCTCTGGCACAGGAATTTTATTTGTTTGCAAATGACATTCCACTTTTACAGACTGTTTTTTTCAAAGTGTCAGTAACCTATTTTCATTTGCTAATACAACCTCCAGGAGTGAATAACACAATCATGCTCCTCCATCAGACCACCAGGAGTGTGAATGATTGATGAAGAAAATCATTTGATTTAGAGCAGAGCCATAACCATCTAGAGGTGTTTTTGTTTCATCCCTTTGTTCTTTCTTGTTATCTCTTTCTACAGAAAGAATCATAGATGTTATATTATCTGGCACAAAGAATTATGGACTGGGTCCAGATTTAGATAGGTAAGACTTTTGAAATGCATCACTACAAATTATTTTGCCTATAGGTCCGTGTCCAAGAGTTCTGCTCATTTTTATATACACTATCGTGCAAAAGTCTGGGGTTGTTACAATTATTTTTATTTATTCATTTTTTTCATTTTTTGGAAAGTGTCTTATGCTCATCAAGGCTAAATTTATTTGATCAGAAATACTGTAACAACAGTAATAGTGTGAAATGCACATACATTACCGGTTATATTACAATGTAATATAACTGATTTCTATTTTAATGTTAATGTTACTTATTCCTGTTATGGCAAAGCTGAATTTTCAGCATCCATTACTCAAGTCTTCAGTGTCACATAACCCTTCAGAAATCATTATAATATGCTAATTTGATTCTCAAGAATTTCTTATTTTAAATGAGAAAAGTTTTACTGCTTCATATTTTTGTGGAAAATGTGATGTGATTTTTTCCCCCCCAGGATTCTTTGATAAATAGAAAATTGACAAGGACAGCATTTATTGAAATAGCAATCTAACCATGTAGGTAATTCAATGTACTTAATGCTGTGGCCTAACAATAAGATTGTTTCACATTTCAGATGAAGTGACACGTCAGAAATACATTTAGTAAAATTATTTCCAAAGTCTTTTTGGTCCCTTTTGATCAATTTGAAGCATATTTGCTTAAAAAAAAAAACTGACCCCAAACTTTTGAGAAGCAGTGTATGTATATGTGTGTATAATTTAATGTGTATCAAGCATAAAACATTCTAAACATTATTTTTGTCTCTGATTGTCATTGTTTGCATAATGCATGTATATAGTTTATTTTTTACCTGACCAGCTTAAGCTTGTGTCATTTTTTATATATATATATATATATAAAATGAAAGTCCGAAGGGAACAAGCCCAAAAAATGGCACTTAAAAAATGATAAATGAGACAAAAAAGTTAAGAACTATTATAATCTACCATTTAAAGACTTTTTTTTATTTTTTATTAATGATGAATTTTATTTATTTATTATTATTAAAAATACTCAGTGGCATAACAGATTTCAGAAGTGGCCACTGAGCGAGTACATACTCAGTATATATATATATATATATACTGAATATGGTTGTAAAGGATTAATACCACCTGTTTGCTCATATGTTCTCTTTGCAGTTTGAGTTGTAAAAGATGTATAATAGTAGGTAATGGCGGTATCCTTAGCAACAAGTCTTTAGGATCCCGCATCGATGAATATGACGTTGTGATAAGGTGAGTGTCCTCAAAGGCACCTTGTTCTGTTTTTTTAATGACCAAATCAATACATTGAACAAACAAAGGGACTTTAGACCCAAATGCAGCTGATTTGCACTGATTCTCGGTATATTTATTCTTTAGACTCAACGAGGCCCCAGTGAGTGGTTACACCAGGGATGTAGGTACTAAGACCACCCTGAGGATAACCTACCCAGAAGGGGCCATCCAGAAGACCGAGCGCTATGAGAAAGATTCCCTCTTTGTCTTCTCTGCTTTCAAACCTCTTGACTTTAAATGGTTGAGACAGATGGTCTTCAAAGAGAAACTGGTAAGACAAAATGCAGTAGTATGTGACTATACTGGCTTGTTTCTTTCATTAAAATCTGTTGACATTTTTTTTTATTTGTTCTGTTTTTACAGTCTCTAATTTTGAAGCCAGTTGTTTTCATAGGCCCATTTCTAGTTCAGCCTGCTCCTGAGCTGAATTTTTAGAACTGTATTCTTGAAATCATTCATGAATTTAGAGTAATGTTAATATTGCCCTCCAGCAAAATGTATTGTATTGGAATTTTTGTGGTTAAAGGATTTTGATTAGGAATAGTTATTGAAGAAAAGGCTTTTATTGTTCAAGGACTTTGTCTCGTTTTTAGCGAGATGTAAAACATTCTCCTTCCAGGTTTGACTGACATCTAGTGAATTAGCCTCTTAATCAGAAGGGTCGGCCCATCTGAATGAGCTCTCTCTTATCTCACACAGTTTTAATGACTCTGCCTCCATCCCATTTCTTATCACACAAAGAGCAAGCATAAGCACTCTGTTCTTCTCTGAAGTCGGTTGGCTTGGCTACTCAAGGACATGTTTTTTTTTTCTTTTCCATTCGTCTGTCATGTAATCATGGTCAAGGCGTTTGGTCGGCATGTGTGGCTTCTCCCATAATCTCCCTTTTCCAGTATACTTGTCTTCCTCAGCTGCACACCTGTTTGTTCTCCCCCGTTGTCAAGTGGGAATCGGGCGGCAACGTGCCTTAGGAGTTCCCGTCCAGCACAGCTGCTGGGTTTTCAGAGGACCAGTGCTGGATTTTTTTACAGGGTGACATTTGTCAATGTGCAAGAGACTCGGCAGAGGAAGAAAAATAGAGAGCTATTTGATTACTCCCCTCCCCTCTGGCCCCTGAAAAGAGCCAGTTTTGTCTGAACATCTGATCGTAACAAGCTGGACAGTGGAAAGTGCTCCGATAATTGATCTGCCCTCTGGCTTCTGATACATTGGCTTTGATCTCATGGAAGGAAGAATTTCCTTCACCAAATCAGGGGTCAAGAAAGCTCCAATGTGTCTGCCATAATGTTAGAAACCACGTTCAGAGGATGATGGCTGATGAAAACTGCATGCAGTATTAGGTAACAAAATAGCTTTTTTGAATTAGAAAGCGGAAAATTGAACGTTAATGCTATACTGGAATCTAATAGGTAGGCTCTTGGTTGTAAAAATGGTTGTAAATGGGCAATGTTTAGACAGCCAAGTTAATGCAGGAATATTCCGGATACTTGACATAGCTACTTGCTAATAAAAAAAGATAAGCATAACTCCTTCCATTTGTCATATAAATTTTTGGTATGTAACACATCCCTCACTGTTTACGTTTACTTTCACACCATAAATATGTTAGTGCCACGTTTACATCACAGTGTTAGTGGCATATTCTTAACTCAAACACACACACATATACACACTGCCGCTCAAAATTTTGGGATCAGTAGGATTTTTATTGTTTTTTAAAGAAGTTTCGTCTGCTCATTAAGGCTGCATTTATTTGATCAAAAAATACAGAAAAAAACAGTAATATTGTGAAATATTATTGCAATTTAAAATAACGGTTTTCTTTAAAATATAATTTATTTTTGTGATGCAAAGCTGAATTTTCAGTATCATTACTCCAGTCTTCAGTGTCACACTTGATGCTTCAGAAATCATTCTAACATGCTAATTCATAATCAATGATGGAAGCAGTTGTGCTGCTTAATATATATATTTTTTGGAACCTGTGACAGTTTTGTCAGGATTTTTTGATGAGTAAAATATTAAAAAGAACAGAATTTATTTAAAATATAAATCTTTTGTAACAATATACACACTACTGTTCAAAAGTTTGGAGTCAGTAAATTTTTTTCCTTTCTTTTTTTTAAAATAAATTAATACTTTTATTCAGCAAGGATGTGCTAAATTGATACAAAGTGATAGTAAAGACTTCTATTGTTACAAAAGCTTTCTATTTTAAATAAATGCTGTTCTTTTTAACTTTAGTCATCAAAAAATCCTGACAAAAGTATCATAGGTTCCAAAAAATATTAAGCAGCACAACTGTTTCAATCATTGATTATGAATTAGCATGTAATAATGATTTCTGAAGGATCATGTGTGACCAGTGTTAGGCAGTATTACTTAGTAAATTACTTAGTAACGCGTTACTGTAATTTGATTACTTTTTTAGTAACGGAGTAATTTAGCGCATTATAATTTTCTTGTGGGTGTATTATTGACATGTCAAAGTCTAGACCCTGAATATAAGACGACCACGTTTTTTCAGATGTATTTCCAAGAAAAAAACATCGTCTTATATTGATGCTTTAATAACAAATATTTATCGGGAGCGTGCATGCTGGGATTCAATCAATTTAATGGAGAAAAAAGTAACGTAACTAGTAATGTAACTAATTACTAATTACTTTTGAAATAAAGTAATCAGCACAGTAACGTAATTACTTTTAAAAGGAGTAATCAGTAATCAGTAATTTGATTACATAACTTGCCCAACATTGTGTGTGACACTGAAAACTGGAGTAATGATACTGAAATTCTGCTTTTATCACAGGAATAAATTATATTTGAAAGTACATTCACATAGAAAACAGTTATTTTAAATTGTAAAAATCTTTCACAATATTACAGTTTTTTCCTGTATTTTTTAATCAAATAAATGCAGCCTTGATGAGCAGAAGAGACTTTAAAAACATTCAAAATCTTTCTGATCCCAAACTTTTGAGCAACAGTATATCTACATATACATATATATGTGTATGTGTGTGTGTGCGCGTGCGTGTACACGTGTGCGTGTATGCATCTCTTACAGCTTTTTCTCCACACGTCTTTCCATTAGTTCTCCCACACACATGCGTACTCTTCAAAATCCTGTAACAACGCTGCTTATGTGTTTATTTGACCACAATTTGCATTCTCCAGCAGACACCCATGTGTGTTGAACTACTTTCTCTCTTTTTTAGGATAACACCATTTACGTTTACATAATGTATCAGGAATGTTTCTGCATTTACATGAAGTGTCAAAACATTTGGTGTCAAAACTTAAGTCACTGTTCGCTACAGAACTGAAAAGCTACATTCACACTGTGCTTTGTGTTTCTGGAACATAGGAGTGAAATTGCTGGAGAGCATTTTGTGTGAATCCAAGCTGGAATGCTGGAAGATTTGATCCTTGTATCAGAACCTAGTAATGATTAATCGTAGAATTTTCAGAATTTGCCCAGATTTTTTTTTTCTGGAATCTCCGTATGTGGCTTATTATACCTCTCTAAATCATGTGGCTTTTTGTAGAAAGAGCAATCACACTGATACGTTTTTTGCCTGATGGACTATAAAAAAAGGCACAAAAAAAAAACTCTTAGTTTTACGATGAAGAAAGAACTCGAGCCATATCTAGGAACTGAATATCAGAGACCACCCAGAATACCTTAGCGACCACATTGCAATTCACATAAACCACTAAGAACACCGTAGCAACCGCATAAAAACCCCTGGCAGCGATTTTTGTTCAGACAAGCAGCGCTCAGATTTTCTTCAGAAAATGTAAAAATGCAGTTCCTGATTGTTTTTCTTCCTCCGGCAGACAGCCACAGCTGTAACAGATGTTTATATCTAGCTAGTCTATGTGACCTCCCGTGTATGTATTAAGTTGTAAGAGTATCATGTTTAAAGTGGCCTTTAACCGATTGTCACTTGACAAATGAAGCCTATCACTATTGTGAATTCTTACGGATGAAAAACGACTGACTTCTATTCTTCTCTCTTGATCAACGTCAGGCTCCAAGAGCCCCTCGCATTCCCTCGCTCCCTTCTCAAACAGTTTAACTTTGGCTTTGTTTATTTTTAACTGGCAAGTCAAAGGGATGGTATTTTAAGGCCCGATGAAAATCTGACTAAGCGTTTATCTAGTTTGCGCGCTCTATACGTACCACAGATGTTTCTTTGAGTAATTTGAGTAATCTCTAAACAATACCAGGCATTCATCGCCATGCTTAATCACACATAATCTTATCAAACACTGTGTCCCTAACAACAGTATACAGTTCATCTCATGTTTGAAAACAAATACATTCCCTGCGGTCCGCTTCCAAGTCTTATTTAGATCTTGTGACATATCTTTGAAAATATCATTGATGCGATGAAAATTCTGTTGAGTGACTTGTGGTGAAGTTGCTGCTGCTTTGCCAAAATATACAGTAAATGCTTCCCTTTAATGGCAGAAACCTGGTGGCGAAATGGAAAACGCTTTGTTTTTGCAAGCGGTGACAGCGATTGAGATCCATTGTGTGGTGACGTCTTTCATTTGGAGATGAACGCATAAAAGCATGTGCGACTGTGTGGGCAGTTGGCTTTAGAAAGGCACGTAGCTTTAGACTTCAGTGTAATCCTCAACTAGCACTGACTCCTCACTCTCTTCATCTCAAACAGTCACACTGATGTAACTTTGAACAGGGGCTGCTTGCCGCTTTGAAGTATTTTTCTCTCTGCTGCTCTTTTGTATGCTGTGAACGCTCATGGGTGGAAGGAATGCCAGCCTTTTCAGTTTGTATTGACAGAACAGTAGACGGATGCATTCCCAGCGTTGAAAAACCTTTGCGAAGTCCACCTGAATATCCAGCCATGAGGCTTGAGCCAAGTGCTCTTAACAGATACACATTGGAAATCAGCCAAATGTCAGTCAAATTATTACATTTTGATGAAAGATTATGAAGATAACCTTTTTTTTTTTTTTTGGAATAACTTGCATGTGATGGATCTTCATCTTCATTAAAGTTGACATGACATCAAAATTGGCACTATATATTTTCCTAATGCATGTTATTGGTCAAGGTGAAGCAGGGATTATGTATTTTTGTAGGCCAAAACCCTAGTTAATATTTTAGCATTATTATTTATTTTTTTATTAATGCCTGGTCTGTGGTTAACACAAGCTGAAGATATTTTTGTGTTTGACATATGTCTAAATTAAGTGGCTAAATGGGACTAAAGAGGTTGTTGGGAATATTAAACA